TTTTTGCAATGCAAATTTCTCAATATAATTTTCATCATTTTATTAGAAAATTTTATATGGAATATGACATAATTTTTTTTTCGAAATTTTACATCTGAAAAAGTCATATCCCATGTAAATTTTCGGATGCAAAATTATATGGGATATGATTTTTTTGGACGTAAATTTTCGATTGTAAAATTTCTCCCAACTTCTTTGCAAGTTCGATTGTGCACCTTAACCTTAAACTTCTGCATCTGCCCGTGCTTGTCATAATGCTAAAATCAGCCAGCAATTAGTTAGTTAAATCACAAGTAAGTAATTGACGGTAATGATTATTGCTTCAATATCAAACAAAATGGGCTGTTGTGTACCACACAGTGGCCAATTGTCCCAGCTTTTGGTAGAGGTACTACAGACATCAAATATTTTTTAAGTACGAGGGCATTCTTTATTTGTCCCAGAATATTTGTAGAATGAGGCAGGCAAGCAGCCTCCCACATTTTTGTTGTTGGGGATAAATGAGCACATTCATTCACACGGTAGTGGGCACCCTCAACTACAAGACGATCTTCTTCTTCTTCTTTTTCATTTTTTTCTTCATATTTTTGGGCTTATTTTGGTATCCATAGTATGATTCATTACAATGGGATTTATAAATGTTTTAAAATGCTTGGACTCGTTTGATAGAACTTTTATTTTCACTTTTACTTCTCATTCAAGAAGCTCTTCTATGAAAAGTAGAATTCGCTGTCAAACGGGCCAGCTTATTGCTCTTTTAGTTTAAAAAATATTTTCAGAAAATTATCCAAACATATTCGAAAGTAATTACTTAATCGCATAACATTTTGTTGACTTTTCGAAAGTTTTGCTAAACATGCCCTTAATCACTATACTTATACAAAAATAAGAGGTAANGCCTGTCTGGCACAGCTTCAATTTTGGGTGAAAATTGATGCTTTGACCGTTGAGGTCTCCAACGGTTGTATTATCACAGAAGTGGCCAGAAGATTTGTGAGACAAAGTCAAAGAAAACGGCTCCAAAATAAATTCTGAAATGTTGAAAATCGTTGCCAGACAGCCTAATTGTTTTAAAATGCTTGGACTCGTTTGATAGAACTTTTATTTTCACTTTTACTTCTCATTCAAGAAGCTCTTCTATGAAAAGTAGAATTCGCTGTCAGACGGGCCAGCTTATTGCTCTTTTAGTTTAAAAAAATATTTTCAGAAAATTATCCAAACATATTCGAAAGTAATTACTTAATCGCATAACATTTTGTTGACTTTTCGAAAGTTTTGCTAAACATGCCCTTAATCACGATACTTATACAAAAATAAGAGGTAA